AATCGAGGTTACATGTGACTGATGCGCAAGGAATCAAAAAAAAAACATTCAAAATACATATTCACACTTTGATCAAGTTATGGGCCGTGAACAATTAACGGGATGTGATGAAGCTGAAGACCTCCAGAAAAGAGCACAGACCTTTCTCCAATTGTCTCCAATGAAAAATTACAGGCTGGGATTTTTTTTTTTTGCAAGATGCTTTTCCATCTTCCATAGCAAAGGGTGAGTGGGTCAGGCTGAATGACTGAAGTCGAGCAACATTGCCCTTCTGTCCGGCTTGCGAGTTTAATGAGTTGCAGCCCGACCATAGACATCGAGTTGATCTCGGAGGCCACCTCATACAAGAGCTCGTGTCATTCAGTCCCGCGGCTGCACAATGTGGACATGCCCGTCCAGGCGTCTTTGTGTCGTATGTGGGCCTCACCCGATCCACAAACCCACGATTGCCGTGCTCATTACAAGGAAGGCAGCGTGTGTTTTTTTTTTTTCTTTTTTTTCATGTGATATGTGAGGAGTGTCGCCGGGCGTGAGACGGCTCCCTATCACTGCCGCGCTTCCTTCATTTGCTCATTTGTGCACGAGACTCGCTCCGTGGTGCTGGTGAGTCATGTTTAAAGTGGCAGGAAAAGTATGTCAACATCAGGGCGTAAGATTCACAGAGGAAAGTTTGTGTGTGTGCTTTTGTGCGCGCGTGTTTACTTCTGCGGGTGTCTCTTGTGTATCGACTGTTGCCTGCCGATGTTAAAAAAAAATGCATACCGCTGCACCTTGTGGGTAGACTTCATTTGCATGCACATTCATTTGCATATTAAGCAGCACGTTGTCAGATTTTTAATAAGTCAATTTTTTTTTTTTTTTTTACTTCCACCTTCAATCATATTTTCTTATTTCTCCTAGCAGACTAAATAAGAAAAGCAAGGTGCTGTTCAAAGACTCATTTAAATCCGGGTTTGTGCTGTGGTCCGTGGAGTCTCACCTCTTCCTCATTTGCCGAAGAGCCAGTACGATCTATTTTACAGCCTCTTGTCTAATTATGAAATCGCATCCGACTGCAAGCGCCCGGGTATAAAACGATATTGTGTATTGCAGCTCTGGAAACGCCGCCTCCTTTAGGAGCTGTTTTGTTCTCAACTTTTCTGCGGAAAAAGCACAGCGCGCAACCTCGTGGGAATCAACGGAGCACTTTGTTTATAATTAATCTACAGAGTATGCTAGCCCTTCCCAAATGCCGCATGCAAATGTAAATATACTTTCCAAACCAGTTGCGTGCAGACACATTTGTAGTACCACTTGGTTGGTGGGTTGACGCAACGTTGCATTGGCATCTTTTATTTGTTCCGCTACACCATCTGATGTTTTCTGTGCCGTCGTTTTGGTCGGCAGTTAATATTTTCACGCACTGGTCAGTGAAGCATCCAGATAATAATTTGTTGTGTGTGGGTGTGATTTCAATTTGCAATGTTTGTACTCCTTTTGGCCTTGAAGATGCAATGGTTTGCCCTTCCCGGTCCAAAAGATAAAAGTGCTAAACAATTTTAATAGACCATCGCTCATGAAAACCAGAAGAGACCATCCAGCATGCAAAGCTTTAATACGATGCGTTCATACCAATGCTTTAATGCCTTTGCCCTTTCAATTCCACCAAAACTCACATTGAACAGAAGAGAAGAGAAATTCAAACGGAATTCACCATTTTACACCCAATTTGAGGCGGCTCAGTGAGCCTCTGAGATGTCAGAAAATGAATCAAGCATAACATTTCAGCAACTTGAAAGTATTTCTTTTCTGTTCAGGGAGGCATGAAGAGATAATATACGCTTTTGATAGAAGAGAGTACATTTGAACATAAAAATCTATCTTTTCGCACTAAAAACGTAAGTTTGGTGAAAGAGCTTTTACATACTGATTCATTACGTATTACAGAAACCGAGTCAATTCTTTTGGTAGGTATTCTTTCTTTTGATACGACTACGTCTCACACTGGGTACACCTTTTTTCCATTTTGGCTTCCAGGGGATTTTCTGGGTTTCGGCACTACCTCACCACCGCTATGTTCTTCAGTTCATGTATGAAGAGAGACCAAGTGAACCTTTTCTGACCTATAGAACCCATCTCACACTGACAACCCTCTGCTGACCCCAATAATGAGTTCAGTGAGCACAGAAAAAGCTCCACTTACTGAGTGCACTTCAAGACCCACAATACAAGTACACAGTAGCTTGAAATACGTTTCACATCTCCAAGGGAGCGAGAGATCGACAGGCGGATCGGTGCAGCGTCTTGCTGTGATGCGGACTTTGTATCGCTCTGCCGTGGTGAAGAAGGAGTTGAGCCAAAAGGCGACACGCTCAATTTACCGGTCGATCTCCGTTCCGACCCTCACCGATGGTCACGAGCTATGGGTCGTGACCGAAAGAACGAGATCCCGGATACAAGCGGCCGGAATGAGTTTTCGCCGGGCTCTCCCCTAGAAATAAGGTGAGAAGCTCGGTCATCCGGGAGTCGAGCCGCTTCTCCTCCACGTCGAGAGGAACCGAATGAGGTGGCTCGGGCATCTGATTAGGATGCCTCCTGGACACCTCCCTGGTGAGGTGTTCCGGGCATGCCCCACCGGCAGGAGGCCCCGGGGCTGATCCAGGACACGCTGCAGAAGAGACTATGTCTCCCAGCTGGCCAGGGAACGCCTCGGGAAGAGCTGGAAGAAGTGGCTGGGGAGAGGGTAGTCTGGACTTCCCTGCTAAAGCTGCTGCCCCTGCGACCCGACCCTGGATAAGCAGTAGAAAATGGATGGATGGATCAAGTGTCATTGTCATTAAAAAAGAAAAAAAAAACACTGCAATTGTCACAGGCGACTTTTTTGCAGGCACATGTTGATGTAATGAATTGACCGCAAGGTACTTCAACTCCTCCACTTGGGGCAAGATCTCATCTCCGAGCCGTAGCAAAAATCATAAGACTCCAATTTGAGCAGGACCGATCCCAAACAATATGAGGAGGTTGATTGAATGAGGGTGTTGCATAAATGAGCTCACGGTGGGCCAACTTCCTGGCTCACAGGCACATTTTCAGACATTTACAGCAAACAGCATTTAATTGTTTGGTTAAATTCACACTTTATGGATGGGCAGGCTCTACAGAGACACAACGATTTGCATAAAAGCAATTTAAAAAAAAAATCAATTTTCCGTCATGTGCATGTCCTTTTGAAGCCTGCATTTTAGATGTTTGTATCTAGTTTCGTTTTGAGCTCAGGCAAGGTTCACCCTGATCTTTCTGCACCACTTTTACTTAAAAAGTCTCCAGGGGAAGTATTCTCTCTACACGACTGCCATTTGCCAGGTATTTTTGTCAGCGTGTGGTAGGTTGTTCCAAATGTGTCAGACTCTGCAGACACCACACATGGGAAAAATTAGAGAAAAGAAAAAAAAAAACACGCACAGATTACGGACTGTCTTTGTAGAGGTGGAATATCAATTTTTCTTTGCATGGAAAAAGGAAACTATTTTTGTTTAGTCACGCTTTGAAAAGCAGAAGGTATGCCTGTGGGCTGTTCTGAGTTTTTGAAAGTGTAATGAGACAAAGTTTGTCTGCCACTTGCGCACCAATGTGGTTTAACAAGGCACAAACAAATATAGAACTTCAGCTTTTTTTTTTTTTTTGCACCTGCTACTTTGAGGTTTGTGTCTTTGGGACTATCATTTTGTACACAAGGCGGCTCATGTGGTTTCTTGACTGAATTGCGCTAATAACTTTGCCTGTGGACCTCAAACTGCTTATATTGCCCAGTTTTTTCGAGGGGCTGAAGACGCATGCCTTCCTTCTGCATGGCAAAAAAATAAAAATAAAATTCTCCCTTTGATGCTCACTGTGAGATAGGCTCTTGAGAGTATAATAATTGATACATTGCACCTTAGGAATTACGACTTGCCTCCGTGTTGTTCGGGAACGATCGACTAAGAAACTTTTGCTGACTCAGCATCGCTCTACTTTCACCCAACAGCAAATCCCCATCGCCCACAAAGATTGGGTGTGCGCCCTGGCTTACGTCCCGGGGAGGCCGTTGCTGCTCAGTGGCTGTCGGGGCGGCATGCTGAAGGTGTGGAACGTCGACAACTTCACTCCCATCGGAGAAGTCAAAGGACACGACAGCCCTATTAATGCCATCTGTACCAACTCCAGGCAGATTTTCACTGCGTCCAGGTAACTTCGGTTCCTACTGCTTGAATCTCACTCAGGAGCTACTACGGTCTGCAATCAATCAACTCTGTTGGAAAAGGCCCCTATTTTTTTTCTGAAGCCTGCGTTCAAAGCAGCCCCCCTTACTCTGCACCGTGGGACAGAAAAATCTCCCAGTCAGAAATAATTAGATGAAAAAAAGCTTCAATGAAGTCATTCAGGAGAACATTTTTCCTGTCGTTGACAGTTTCAGGCAATCGTTCTAGATTTTTGGAATGATTTATGGTTTTCTGAAACGGTTTGAGCAAAGCTCCTCACGCCCAACATCACAGGCATTCACTTTTGTTCACAACCGCCTCGGCTAACGATCTCCCCTTCTGCTTTCCGTCTTCTCCTCGTGCTCGTCCTCCTCCTCCACTCTTCTGCCACTTCAATCCTACTGGACAACAACTTGTTTGTCTCAAAACTCTTCCTCCGGGATGACTGCAGTGATTGCAGGGTGAAATTATGGAACTATGTGCCTGGTTTGACCCCGTGTCTTCCTCGCCGGGTCCTCGCCATCAAGGGCCGAGCCACCAGCCTCCCATGATAAACACCTTCCCTCCTCCGTCTGGTACTTTCTTATCCTTTCCTTTTCCCATCCTAGCGCTTGATTGCCTTCCTTTTCGTTGACCTGTTTCTGTTCTCCTGCCACTGCGCACGAGGTTTACGCTGCTGTACAAGTAACAACTAACAAACTGTGATACAATCCATGCAGAAAAACAACGCACTGTGAAGGGTTGGGCTTCCCCTCTGGCACATTTGAATTATTTTCAACACAAAACTCATTGCGATTGTCAGCCCCGTCCTTCCCCCACCAATTATCTGGAATTATCATTCTTTTCCCGGCACTGCACTCACATTGGCTTAAAAGTAAATTCCAATTAACAACCATAAAGGGAGCCCTATCGAGTAAAGCTCCAAAGCCTGAAAGTTGTAATGGAAATAAGAGCACGCAAGCGTCGTGCAACTTTTGCGCCTCCTGGACCCAGCAGCTTTTTTTTTTTCATGATTTAAAAAAAAAACAAACGTTTTTCCATTTTTTGGGTGTGGAACAAAGCCATGTGTTTCTTGGAAAATGTGAATTAGCAGTTTATCAATGTTTTTTTTTACTGCAACGTGAATAGGCAGCCTTATCATGACATTGCGGATTTGCAATCACATGCAGGACAAACATAGTACATTTTGTGTGAGTTGATTTTTGTGGGACCACAAAAAAAAAATGGCCCCACCATCATTTAATTTGCCCATCCCTGCTTCAAGTTGTCATTTTAAAACATTAAACAAAACACTCTGCTGTGCTCAGACTTAAAGTGAGGTGAGCACACTGCAAGCACGTAAGCCGCGTCTTCACCGTGTCTCAAAACGGCTTGTCTGGTTCACCCACCAAGTTCAGATGAGAGCATTCGCACTATTTTATTTTAACGAAACCGAACTTTGCAGTTGTGAACACAGCCTAAAAAGCTCACATGAATTTGATAAAGTGGATGCTAATTCACAAAGAGAATTGGAAAAAAAAAACTTCCTACATTGTTTGAAAGTAACTTTGGAAAAGTGGGGAAAAAAAAGCTAGCGTTGCATGTGTGCGTGCGCGTCTATGGAGGCCTCGCTGATGTTATTGCACTCGTATTTTCCTGACTTCCTTTTGCTCCCCCTCCCGTCCCTGAAAACGCCTCACATCTCTCTCCCTCCCCCACCGTGTCTGTGTGCAGTGACAAGACGGTGAAGATCTGGCTGTCAAAGGTGTGGAGGAAGAGGTGACAACGCAAGTGACGGACGGCGCTTGACCATTTTTTTTCGTGTGGCTCTCACTCCCACCACCAAGGCAACCCACTTTTATTGGTCACTGTGAAAACTTTAACGTTGCCCTGAAAGGCATAATAAACCACTGTTCATTTTATTATAATTATTATTATTATTATTTTTTTTTTTTTGCATTTGAAACTTGAAAGTGCCATTTGTCATGATGCCACTCAGACAATGCAAATGCATCTCGCAGACGCAATTGCCCGCACCTTTTTTCTCATCATAACAAAATGGCGAGTGCCGTGCTGTTTCCCCTCCTGTTTTGAGCGGGGGGGTGAAAATCGAAACACATATGGAACATTTGTGGAAATACCTTCAGTTCCTCCAAAAAGGATTTTTATACTTTTAACAATCAGTCATTGGACAGTCATCATCATTCGTATCCCGCTGTTACACAACTAGCCCTCTCAATTTTTGCCCCAGGTTTTTCCTCTTAATTATTATAATCACCCGAGTTTCTGTGGTGATCAACAAGTCATGTGTAATTTTTATTTTCCCTACCTCATTTGTTTTGGACTGTGCTTTCCACGTGGGCGAGAACACCTTTTATGGGTCTCTTTGCACAAAAAAAAAAAAAAAAAAATCTGGTGCTGGAAATGTCTGGCTCTTTATGTCTGTAAACGTGTCCTCTGGTGGCTTAGCCTGTCTCGCTGCTGACCTTGCAAACAGGAAAGCACACGTCCAGTAGCACAAGCGAGGTGATACTGCCCCTGGAGGAGCTCACTAGACTTCATTATCTTGGGCGAGAAGTCCTGACGACGGCAGAAAAATGAAAATAAAACACCCGCAGCAGACTTCAGTGCTTTCATTAAAGGGCGAGATTGGTCTTACCCAATACAGTACTGACTTGAGGGCCCTGACATGCAAGCCCCCCCCCACCCTCCACACCCCATACGTAAAGTGTACAACAATCCCTCTCAGTCTGTTGACATCGTCGAGAATATCCAGTCATCGGCTTATTTCCGATCATGCTAATCAAGCTAACGCACACGGATCATAAAGTTACAGTCAGACTACTGCAGCATGTTAAATGCGCACATCTGGACTGCGATGATCCGGGCGTGCTCCTCGGCGGACTCGCAAGTCAATTACAGTGGGACCTCTTCGGTTGAGCTCAATGCGTTACTGATTTCTGTTCATGTGTACAACCAAACGTTCATCGTCACTTTAAAGCACTTTAACTTGAATGACGAAGGCGCCTCATTCTTCACCCTCGTTTGCTGCGTCATGGTGGAGTCTTACTTCAGTGGATGCGTGTTTACTTAACATCATATGGTTCTTATTTTAATTCATTTCTAGCAATCATGAACTTCGATGTGAAGCTCAATTTACACTGAGTGGTATGCTTGCAACTTTAACGGCGAACCAGTTTTTCCCAAAACCCTGACAGACTTACTCAGTCCCTCGCCTTTACTATATAGGAGTAAGTGTTAAAAAAAAGCCAAAGAAAAGTAAAATTTGAGCCACTAGTCTTTTCATTCTTGTGTGATGTGTTTACGTTTTTGCCTGGTGTGATTTCATGTTGTTGAGCCTCTCTTTGCAATTTGAGTGTCACTCAAACAAAAAGCCAAAGAAAAAGCGAAACCCGTATCCAGAATTATTCCCTTGGCGCCTTCGGAGCCAACATCGTGTATGATTTTTCTGACGTCTTGTGTGACATTGCATAAGAAGCTGCATAGAACTATTGTGTGACTTTCGAGGCATATTTTTTTTTTTCCCCAAAATATATTTTGCTTTCGTGTATTCCGAATTAGGGCATTCAATTGCTGAGGTTCCACTGTACTTGATGCCGTTCATCCAGGGATAGAATGACCACTTTGGCAAACAAGTATTTCACTCGCCGCATGTGCAAAGTGGAGAACGTCACGTTGTCCAAATCGCTGTTCGTCCAATAGCTTGTTTACATGTTAACTTGACCAACCAGGAGGCGAAAGGAGTTCCTACGACAGCAGAGCTTGAAAATCAGTTCCTCCAAGTCATTGAGCTTCCTCTCCCGCGTTCGTGAATCTTGCTAGTCCTCACACTGAAGGCTCCCCCACGCCCACCCCCACATCCCCCGTTTTCCCAGCTAGCTCAAGTCTGTGTGAAGCCAATTTAATTAGTGCTCTCACATTTCTCCCGCCTGCTCTGCGGAAGAGACTTTCTGGTGGAAAGCAGGTCACAACTGAGAGGGATTTTGAAATCCTCTTTCCATCCTTCTGCCGCTCCATTAAACGGCAGGAAGACATTTCTTATCCAAGCAAATGGGCACAGACTGCAGACATCATTTCCACTGGATTTTCTCTTTTTTGTTGATCCTTGCGTGTATGTTCAAATGTGGTTTTTTTTTCCCTACCTTGTCATCCAAATCCCCCAAATTTGGACATGATGCTTTTGCTTCAGGCAAGCAAAATAAGCCAAATTCACCCCCTCAACCTCATGTGCCCTGTACATGAGAGAAGTCCTTTCAAATGATGCAAGGATGTGGAATAGGCGATGCCTGTGTTACACTGAATTTCTGCAGTACTTGCTGCTACCACACACTCCAAAAGCAATGACGCTGTAATTCTTGTTTTTATGAATGCAAATATGTGGCGCGACGTGGCCGACCGGGGGTGTTCTTGGTTTCTTTATTTTTGCTATGATGAGCAAACTCAGGTACAGGATGAAGGATCATTTTAGTTTGTAGTGAACTCATCCCTTGACGTGATTTTTATTTTATTTTTTTTTTGGGTCACATTTTTCAAATGCCTTGTTTTTTGAAAAAGAAATTCATGTCTTACCCTATTCGTACCACTTCTACATTTTTTATTTTATTTTTTTATCGATACAATTTTCTGTATATAGTCTTACTCAGCTGTAAAAATTTTAAGGAGGTTTTGAAAATGTGGCCAAAGTATGTCAATGTTGGGGAGAAAAAAAAAGGTACCGGTATTTGTATAGGATTCTTGCTTGCGGCGTTGGTGCGGGTGGTACTCTCGTTTGAATTTATTTCAATGCAAGGTTACACCAATGGACCCTTTTACTGTATTTGAGTCTGTGCCAATCAGCCAAACAAACCCAGTTGCCACCTTTCATGTTTCTCGGTCATACCTGGTGAGGATAGCATCTCACTGCGAGTGCCCCCACCCCCTGCCCCCCACCTCAACATGCAATGTTCATGTTCATGGTACTGAGTGAATGATTGCACGTCTGAGGAAATGACAGTGTCTCCCATTTGGAATTATCGGCCTCAGTGCTGAACACCTGCATCCATTTTTGCATCCAATTTTCCAAAGGATCACCCTGCTTGTTGAAATTTCACAGCTTTGACAATGAATTAGTTTTCCTTCCCATCAAGATAATCTTTTAATCTGGCTGCCATTATCGTCAAAGTTTGTCCCCAGCTCCAGGGAAAAGTCAGTCCAACGAGACGCTTTGTGAATAGTCATGTCATGACTTACATGTTAACAAGCTGACTTCATTATCGTGAGACTGTTCATATTCGGTCCGATGACTCAGTATTAGGGCCTCGATGGTCATGCGTAGAGAATGAAGTCGTTTACGGCCAAAAGTCATTTTGATTACATTTTTGCAATTTTAATAGAGTAAAACAAGAGAAGTGTCTGAAAAATGAAGACTATTGAGGATCTTGTCAGCCTGGCAAACCATTGTGACAAACTCAAATAGTCTCGTTAAATTACAACAGCAAAAAAAAAATATTCACCATTTCAAAAATAGTTTTATTTATATTTTTTTGCCCCTGGAAAACACCAACTGGAAGTTTCTCTCTGAAAAAAAAGAAAAATGTTTTTTGGGTCCCCCAAGAATAGCGGGGTCCACTGGATGCCTGTCATCTTAGTCCCAACTTTATTCACATAAGATTTCAACTTTTCTCCCATAAGAGTGGCTTACTTTATCCCTGTCCGACCATTTTGTTGTACAAAGTAGCCGTCCTGCTTTGTTGTCATAATTGTACTATTTTTATTTTCATGAGCGGGCCCCAATATACTTTCACACACTGAAAGTTAGGACTTGCCTGCTTTTTAGATAAGTAGGCACTCCTGTGAATAGTCCACATAGGTACTGTATGAAACGTAGTCTTAGACTGAACATTGCCTGCGCGTTCTAAACACGGCACTGAAATCCTTCTGCAAAGAACAGCCTTTTAGATCCACAGTAGGTTGAGCGGACGATTCTATTGCCGTTTGTCAAATGCACAGGCGCAGAGAGACACCTTTTGTCAGCCTTTAAACAGTCCTGTATTGTAAATGTTGAGAGTGCAGCATGCAGACCTTTATTAGTGCAAGTCCAGTCTTTCACTGGCACCTTTATTAATTTCCTTTAATTAAAATATAAAAAAAAAAACATGTTAGCAGACTAACAGTAAAAAAAAAATAATAATAATAAAATAAATACCAGTAGTCTTCAGAGATTTGTTACCTTGCTTAGTATACAATTGAGCCCCCAACCAGCTCGAGGCGCTATGCCGCCAAACAATTAAAAAAAAAAAAAAAAAAAGACCAAAGCTCAGTATCATTTAAACAGCTAATATCAAGCGCTGTAAAAAGAATAAAAAATATATGTGCAGAAATGCAAGGAAAATTTCATGTACCAAAAAAAAAAAAAACGTGAATTAAGAATGAGTTGCCATCAAATTTGAAATCGATGACACAGCGGCTATCACGGGTCTTTCTGCAATATCGTCAGCCTCAAGCGGCCAGTCACACGTGATTCGCTAGCCTGCGGTTAGTACTTCCCACCCGTCAAGAATTAGAAGCTCGGTTCGGTCGCGCGACTTCAGCCTTGTGCCTCAGCCAACAGGCCTTACACAATCGCAATTTCTGTGTAGCAGAAACATCACTCCGACAAATCGGGATTCTGTTTTAAGTCCGCGGATGTCTCGGCTCACTCGATCATGAACGGCTGAGAAGAAATCTTTTCATCATCTGGGCCTCCTCCGGCTGATGACGGTCCGGGATCGCGCTCGCTCACAATCAAGAGGGCTTGCTTACTTCTTTGCTGCTAGCCGCCAGCTCTCAGTCACACACCTCTTATCATAATACACGTTGCAATGTCTGTGAAATCAATACTTGATGCCACATGAATGCAGGGTCAAAGGTCATTTGTGCCTTCTATTGCACAGACTACTCATTCTTATGTGAGTGTAAATGTGTGTACAGTTGTTGGATTTGTTTTTTTTTTTTGTAATGTATGAAAATATGCATGTGAGCAAGCCATGTACAAACAAGTTTCAGTGTATATAATGTAAGTAAATATTTAATGACAAATACAACGTTCCCCCCCCCCCCCGAACAGAATAAATAAGTTAACAAAAACATGAGATGACTTTGTGGGGACTGCTTTTAGTTGTTTCAGATTGCCTCGTGTAATGAGCCAACGTGAGAATGACGGGTGTTAAAGTCTCTGCGGTGAGGAGAAAAGGCATTTCTGTCATTGGTGTGGCAAGAAAATGATCATTTCGCACTCTTCTCCTTGAAAATAATACAAGGACTTTTGTTTTTTTGTCAATGTACGAAGGTCATCCTTGATGACAACCTGCTCCGCAGCGCTCGCTGACTGCAGCGACAGTTCGTCTTTCAGCAGGACAACAAGCCCAAGTACACAGCCAAGACTTCAAAGGAATGGCTTCAGGACAAGCTTTGTGTATGTCCTTGGCTTGACTTGAGAAAAAGGAATGGGCGCACCGTCCTAAAGATACCGGAGGTGTGCCGAGCTAGAGGCATGACAGTATATTCAAAATGACTTGCGGCTGTCATGACTGCCAAAGGTCCATAAACAATGTGAGTTTTTTTCTCTTTTAAATTTGAAAACCTTATATTTGTGGGGATATTTGAATTAGGGGGGAGCGAGATAACTTATTTGAGTTTGGAATAAGGCTGTAACAGATGCTGAAAAGTGAAGTGCTGTGAACTCTTTTCGTTAGCACAGTGGTCTATGTCAACCCAGCCTGCACACTTCTCGTACTGTGTAAGCACGAATGTTCTTGTTCAGAAGTGTGTGTGTGTGTGTGTGTGTGGTGTTTGTACAAATGATGTCATTGAAAAGGACCTGCATTCATTTGAGACAAGATTTTTTTTTTGTTACGTTTCAGAAAATTGAAAAAAAAAACGGACCATTTTCATCAATTTGTGGGTAGAGCTCGAGAAAAAATTAAGAACTAGAAAATCATACCATCACATGAAGAATTTGAAGCTGATACACCAAAGGCCATGTCAATTAAGACCTTTTTTTTTCCTCATTGGTTATCGGAAATATAAGCGTTTCACTGCTTCTGCATGGAAAATGTGTGAGGATAAATATCACCATTTTCTTTCGGTATCGTTTTATAACTCAAGAAAAAAAAGTTAGGTTCGTTGTAGATATAATCAACTATAATGTACATCGAATTGTAAATCACACTTTTTTTTTCATTTTTATTTTATTTGGAACTGGAACACTTTTAAGTTGCTCCAGTTCTGCTTGTTAGCGGCGTTTATACAAAGTCAACGCTACTTTGAAAATCACTTAACAAAACGTAATACATGTCATTGTTTTCTTTTCGAGGCTTGTAGTGAATGTCCATATTCATTATGAACAGGGTTTCCTTGCCTTTCTCGCCCTGTCACAAATTGTCAGCCTGCATTTATGTCAGTGGCTTTAAATAGAACTAAAATGCACCCAGTGGAGCACAGACCTCCACTACGGTGGAATAGATTATGGTCTGCATTATCAATGCATTTGCATTCTCGTGGGCGTGAAACTAAGGTGATTTACTTCATGCATCTAAAAAAAAAAAAAAAAAAAAAAAGAATATGTTCACTGAAAACGACAAAATAGTCCACATTTAACTTTGATCGACCCAATGCATGCAATTAACCAAAAATAAATATGCTGACTAATAGTTGAACATCAAAGGAAAAATAGAACAGATGGGCACATGGTTGGATGTTTTATTTTTTTTTTCTCCCCACCAGAAGCCATTTCTGTCGGCGTCAAGAATTGCTCAGAAGAAATGCATATATCTTCATTCCCTTTGCGAATGCCGATCATTAACTTGTGCGGGCATCGCTTGCCACAGTCGCGGCGGGACGCGCAAACGTTGTGATGTATGACGGCCATTAACGTCTCAGAGGAGACGAAAGCCATTTGAAGATGCCAGTCACAAACAAATATCCATATACACAGCACAACCATCACATCCCAGCAGGATGTCTTCCATCTGCTCGCGCCACATATAAAAAACTGAGGGGAAAAAAAAAACTTGTGGAATTTGATTCCGGCGTCTTCTTCAGTTTGATTACATTGCAACATTTCAGCCAAGTCTGCTCTTACTTGCTGATCCATTGATCTCTGTCCTTGTGGGCTATCAATCACCCTTGCAACGTAAAGAGTACATTCAGGCAAATACCTGCAGTGAATATTAAAGCCCTTATGTTCACGCTCCTCATATGTGTGTGAGGGTAAACATTAATAACAAGTGGTTATCACTGGAAATGAAAGTTCTCACTTGCTCATCCATCACCGTGTCCCACTGCGATACACTAGCAATAAAAAAAGGACCAGTCCAAAGACTCGAGAGGGTTCAACTAGCAGAGACCAACAAAATAAATGTAATCACACTCTCAATGCTTTAAACAACTTCTTGTTGTGTTCGTCTGAACATGTACAAAGATAACAGTGAAGGCTCTAGTTTTATTTTTTATGTCTTGATTTGATAAATGGAGCAATGTTGGCGATGTCTCATGAAAACGCTTTATTTTTGCGCGAGTTGAAATTGGGCTGTCATTTATATCGCACTTTTCTATCTCGGGTACTCAAAGCGCTTTACATTGTTACCTCATTAACCTACTGATGACGCAGCCTGGGGTAGGGGGGGTCAGTATCTTGCTCAAGGACACTTAGACATGGTCGCAAAGGCCAGGGAGCGAACTACCAACCTCTGAGCCATGCCGCCCACAATTCAAGAACAAAGAATCATGACGTCGGGCAAAAACAAGGGCAAGAGGGGTGTAGACATTGATGTTACGTAGTTAGACGGATGATGTCATTACGTACCCATTTTTGGCATGATGTATGTGTTTGCTCATTTCATTACCTCCATTGAGGCTTTGCAGAATGCGCCGTTACACCGTAAATGTAACAATGCAGAGGCATGCGGTCAGGGGAGGCAGGTGAGGCAGAGCCTCACCTCTGAATGCGCATTGCATTGCGCAATCATCACAAACTGGGTCGACACGTGCAACTGGCTCGTGCTGCTTGCCGTATAGCTGCATGTCACAAATATAATGTTTAGCCAATTGAATAAGCTACCCTTTTTTGCTTTGTATATTCGTATATTTGTAAATCTGACACCAAAAGGAGTCAGTGCCTCACCAACCATGCACCTCACCGCACGCCACTGTAACAATGTGATTAAATAGATATATTTCTGTTGGATTTACCTGGGGCTTTTAGGTAGGGCTGGGCTGCCACTGACAGGTTACCATTCACAGGACATATTTTTAAAAAAATCGCAGATTGGTCACCCACTTCATCGCCAGCAGAACCGCAATGGTAAGCTACATTTGTAAGTCCGCTTTTCTTTGTCACATCTTTGGAATTATCTTTTAGATTCAATCATGCTTGCTTGCTTTGTTTGTCTGCTTTGCTTTGTGTCCGTGGCGCTTTATGCTTGCCGCATCGCTGAACGTGACTTGCTGTTCGCAATCGGCAGTGCAAGCACTCGCCGGAGTAGCTTTTAAAACAACGTGGGCAAAAGTTATCAAGTTTAAGATTTGCCATTGCAGTGGTGGGGATGCTTAGTTGTGTTTTGTTGGAGTGTCGCCACGTCGTGTTTCGGAAAGTTTGAATGATGATTTTGCGTTCCGGCTACAGTTAGTGGTGCATGGCGCTTCGCTTCCGGGTTTGACCCCTAGCATTTTCATTGGCCAATGACTTTAATAAAAAGAAATAATTCTCAAGGATAACAAAAATGGCTGTGCTAGCACCACATGATTCATCTTAACCGCCGCAATGTTTTGCCCCCCCCCAACGTTCTTATCATAGTATCAGCATCGTCATTATTTTGCTCTTTCCACTGTGGCACTTAAACGCCTTCACAGAGATATCTATTTTATGTGTGGCCATGAAATATTCAGCCCAGTTCAAGAAAGTATATCGTCCCAGTAAAAACAACAATCATTTTGTGATCATTAACAGTTCATTTCCTTTTCATGTCCTCATAGGGAGGATGAGAGAGCATCTCAAGACCAGTCCAGTCCAACTCTGAAATAAAGCCAAAAGCATGCTAATTGGCGGCAAACAAAGCTGCTTGAGGAGAATCGTTGAGCTTGACGGGTGGTGAGCTACCGCACCAAGTAATTCCGCGAAAAGGACACGGGTTGGGCAGGCTTGTAGAAAGAGCAATAAATGAGCAGAATACCTGAGGGCCGCGGATATTTATTCTGCTTTCAATAATGGATGATGCAGGAGGCGGCGTTGCTGATGCGCCAATTAGGGGGGGTAAATGAGAACATACCTCACATTCACTGCCACAAGCGAAACGGTAAACAATGCTAAATGATAAACAATTTTCACATGGTACTCCATAACCTTGCCGGAAAATGTTATATTACAAAAACAACCGTAACGGTACATGGTTTCATGCTATCAATCGCCATTTAATTCAACTTGTAAACATCATGAGATGCTCTATGTAAATGACCTCCGAAGAGGATTGGAATGATGAGGAGTGTTTGCAAAAATATTCCCATTGTCAAATTGTGAGCATCTGCACGTCTATGGAAGAGATCCAAAGACGATTAACCAGCTTGTTCTTTTCCTGCTTTTGTTCGTGATTTTTTTTTTCTTCCCCATTGCACACACACACTCATGAACATGGGTAGAATTTAATGCTACACAAACAACAGGATTTTTTTTTTCTGGGTAGATTCTTCTCTTTGTTGAAACAATGACTCTCAAAAGGCCAGTTTATTGTCCTTTTAATGATGTCACATGTGGAGGGAAGGGGAAAGGCATTTGTGGGATGAACAGCACGACTGGGGATGTATTTTGCACCAGTGTGCCAAATATTCACGGCCAGTGGCAAACTGCTTATGGCAGCTGTTATAAAATGTCTACACACCCATGTTCAAATGTCAGATTTTGGTGGTATTAAAATCAATAAATAAATAAAGACCGAAATGCAAATGCAGAGGAATATCGAGACAGCAATCCATTATCTCCACAATCGCTATCGAACGCTATCTGGACTGTTTGTTAAACTGCAAACGTGTCTTGTTTCCTCGTAAATCAGCCCATGTTTGGTCAGCAGAAAAAAAATATAAGATGCAGAGAAGCTTTGGCACATTTTGAACGGGTGTAACATACATTCTCATGTGCGCTGCTCATCACACAACTCCTCAAAAATGGCGGGATCATTTAAAAGGAAAATAATTTGGGTTTCTCATAGTACAGTATTTATTGGCAATAAGAATTTCTACAATGGAAAAAAAAACATAACACAAGTAACACCACTATATCCATCGGTTTCTTCTCATTAGGACAAATTCGTTTCACACAAGCACCACACCTGTGACAAAAAGTCAACATTTTCATTTGTCTTCCTATAGTTACAAAAATTTGGAGAACCCCCCCCCCCATCCCCCCCCACCGAAGAATCTTGAAAAGCATTTTATCTAAGTATGCAAGTTATGTAGAACCATAACCTTATCTGCTTGAAAAAAATAAATGCTTTGTGATCATTCTAACAAATAATTACTTCATTTTTACCCTGACCAGCAAATTATATATTTAGGATTTTTTTTCTTGTTTCATCCGTATCTTTTCATTTTATTGCTTTTACTTTGTACGAACAATAAATTACCAAGCAAAAAAAAAAAAAAGAAAAAAAACATTAAATGGTCCATTTAGTCACAATACAAATGTTTTTTGTCATTCAACTTGATGTAAACAAACATTTTTTTTCCCCCCCAATATTTTGTTTCACTTTGTCTTCTTTCGGTCTTTTGTCATCTGTTTCGTCTTCTTCCATGGCAGGAAGTTGTAGGAGACCAGCGCGGTGAGGAGGTACGTGGCCATGCCGGTGTATCCTCCCAGTACCAAACACAGTGGCTGCACCAGTACAAACAGACAGAAGACGTTCGTTGACGCCCGCTCATCCAGTTCAATCCGATCCGACTTGGTGGCGTTCATCACGGCAAAAAAGTACATCAGGGCCACGCCTGGGTAGAAAGCCAGCTCCACCATGGCGGCGCAACGGACAGGACGCCTGCCAAGAAAAATTTTGGAGATTTAACATGCCCACATAGAAACGGAAAAGTCAAATAAAACACTCACCGGTAAAAGATTTCTATTCCCTCTGGAAGGTAGCTGTGAAGCGTGAAGGCGGATCAAAAAGCAGATTTAGACCTTTGAGCCGTCATTCGATCACCACAGCAGTCCATCAAACATTAGCCACCTTCCGTCTTATCTTCCTTATGAGCTCACTTGGTATGTGTTACCTTCAAAATACACGGAGATATCAGAAGCTTTCTTATCTAAAATTTGGTGGAGTGCGTTTTGGAAATGAATGAAAAGGGTTCACATGGAGAGAGAGGATTTTCTGCTTTTATTCTTGCTGGGAGATAGCTGAAACCAAGTACAGTGTGTACTGGATCTGTTGTATTAAGAAACACTGAGTGGTGTTCCACTTGTGATGACATGCAGTGATAAGCAGGAAAAACATTCGCAGTCATGTCTCTATTATTGACAAGTGAACACATTCCATTTCAGAATTCAATTATTTTTGTCATCGCAGTCAAGGGAAACTAATCTAACTGGCCCCACCAAATCAAATGATAGCTAAGTGTCTTTTGAGTTGGTGGAGCCATTTTGATCAAATTAAAATTATTATTATTATTATTTTCATTTCAGCTGACATCACTGTTGCATTTTTTTGGGGAACAACTTTTACATTGTCGATGCAAAATATCATAATTGGAAGATGGTGTGCACTGCTTTTGATTCACTTCTCCGGGACATTCCTCCTTCATCAGTATGATTATTTTAGAGACTGAAAACCGTGGTCAGTTTTGCGCAGTCCTTGAATGGTAATTTTCATTTAAGAGCCCTTTGCACTGGAAAAAACAAAACAGAACAGTATATAGTTATTTTTTTTTATTGGGTTGGTTTCGTGGCTCTTGTCACACATTGAAAAATGTACGATGAAAAATTTAATGTATCAAGAGAACATATTTTTTGCACTTAGATTTCAAATAGCATGAAGTGTGTGATCCTATGTGGCTCCCGAGTAGCACTGATGAAAAATTGTGCCCCCCCCACCCCCTTCCAGGATTTAAGTTGCCCCATCCCGGCTGTAATCAATTTGAATGCCAACGGTGACTTAGAGCAGCTATGGCCGCGAACATCTCTGTGGCTTTTTAACTAGTCCCCAGAGGTCAATTTGCCCAAAATGCGGTTCATTTATTGGTGGGAATGGTTCCCATTTACAGTAAAAGTCAAAGCTGCTCTTCGTCCTGCAACAAGTTCGAAAGAGAGCCTCGTTTCATTGTGATTCATTTTGACTCGTTAAGTTTTGAATCAAGACTTCCCGAGTAGTTTCTTTTTTACATGTACTGTTATTCACTCACTCATCCAACATCACGCTGCGCTGCTGCGGTCTGAAGGGACAGCAGGCCTTCCGGCAGTCAATCAGCCACATCCCCTCCCATAAATATTGCATGCGCGCCTTGCGTGAGCGTATTTCCCTTCTGTTTGCTTGCCAGTCACCGGCTAATCATTCAGAAAATGTTCCTCTTTCATTTTAGCCACCTCGGGAGACGTTTGATTTCGGATTAAACAACAGCACCACAGAGT